AGTTGGACATAGCTACCTCACTGTTTTCTTGAGCTATTCTTCAAACACTTCAAGTAAATACATGGTGACTCTCAAGCATACTTGATGAATTAGATGCTCAAACAACATCAATAGATTTAGAGATTGTTTAAGGTACCTGTTACCTGTTGGAAGGGTACCTACTGGTGTATGACAGGTACCCGCAAGCGGGTTCCAGGTGTCCAAATTGAGTGGAATTCCAGAAAGTTACCTGGCCATGAATTGGGGCTTAAACAGCCTTTTTGTGACTATTTGTAAATCGTAACTCTTGGTGGGTGCCTGCAACCTGCCATTGGGATCAGTTGTCCAAATATTGTAGGATTACAGGCAAGTACCTGCACCCACCATGGGTACCCGGGTGTGAAGTGCAATCTCTAGGTCTGGCAGAATTTGGCTAAGCTCAGCCAAGTTTTAGTGGAAGTGTTTGTTAGAATAGCTTAGCTGGCACAGTGTTTCTATCAATTACCCCTAATTTAGAGCAGTTTTGCTTACCTTATAATCCCCCCTCCCCTTTTTTTTTGTGGGGGGAGGGGTTTACTCACTTGCCTTGCCTGAGTAAGGCACCTGTCTGTCTCAGTTTAATGTGAACTAGAGGTTGACACAAGGATTGGATTGCATGACAGTTTGTGTGGCTCTCTGATCCTATTCTTCAAGTTACATCAATGAACATGTAGATTTCAAGGGCCAATTGGTGCTAGTTTCTGACACTGTCCTGATCTGGAGCCTTGGATCCAGATTCCGTCCATCTTGCTCCCTGACCTGGCAGAGATTCTCTTCTGCTGGATATGTGCCGCCACCACACCCATGACAGTGGGCCAGAAGTTACAGCTAACAATGAGATCTAATTACACAAATTCCAGAACAAAGACCAGTGTTGTAACAAACTAGGTTGAGCAGAGATGGATGAATGGAAGGGTTGATTTGATCAGAGAACCAAAGAAGCCTGAAGAGAAAAACAAAAAGAAAGGTGTATACCTAGGTCATGCAGAGAACAATGAATGGAAGGATGAGGAAACCATCAATTCATGACTTGGCTGGCCCGAGCCAAGTTCCAACAGTGAAAACATTGAAATACATGTATAGGTATTTATCGGTATCTGAATCTGTTTTTCTCCAAATAAATTGGATCAGTGTCCGCCTTAGAGCCAGCCAAGCTGGCCAAAAGACTGCCAAAATTGGCCATTTCTAGTCTAAATATTATCTTATCTTTTTTTTCTTATGACTTTTAACCTTTTTGACTTCAGAAATGGATTTCTGGTGTAAAATTAACCCTAGTCACAACTGATCACTTTTACTCAACTTCCTTCATTGACTTTGTAATAGTTCACAGTACTTCAAGAATTACTCCAGCCCTTAGTTTTCAGCTCCCTCTACCACATGTACAGGCCTGATTACATAATCCAACTTTGAAAATCCTCTCTGAGCTTGTTGATTCCGCTTCCAGAGGATTTTCAGACTCCAGACCAACACAGAACACCAACAACCAGACCCAGATCAAGCAAACACTTATAAACGCTGGGCCAGCTACGCTAACCGTAGCGTAGCGCAGCGGAAATGCGCTACTTTGTAGCGTAGCGTTAGCAAAAAATCCACCTTTCTGCGCTAACGCTACGCGCAAAGGGGACAAAAGTGTGTTAGCTGTTAGCGTAGCGTTAGCGCAGAAAGTTGGAATTGCGCTAACGCTACGCGCTCAGGGCACAAAAAAGTGCCCACTACGCCGCGCTACAGCGCTTTTTAGCGGGTTTTTTGCCTTTTTTGCCGCTAAAAGCGCTGTAGTGCAGCGTAACGCAGCGTAGCGGCTGTAGCGATGCGCTAACACTACCCAGAAACAAGCCGCCTGTTAGCGGGGCTACAGCGTAGAGGCGGTAGCGGCACGCTAACACTACAGAAAAAAAGGCCTGTTTCAGCGCCGCTACGCTAACGCTAAGTGGCCCTTTAGCTTAGCGTAGCATAGCGGCCCAGTGTTGCACTTATCCACCAGAAGTACCTCACTTTTCCTACCTTTCCCACTACACAGTGTCATTGGTATCATTAGTAATTCACTTCTCATAAGTTAAGCTAGCATCTTTCTGCTTGTTTCTCTTCTCTGTCTCTCAGTTTCTCTTCATTCCCCATCAAACCAAAGCCCTGATCAAAGAAAGCAAGCTCTGGCTTCTATTATCTCAATTCCTCCTGTTTGGTAGTACAACTGAAAACTACATAGGTTTCCCTTTAAAGAGCCTTGATATTTGATCTAAAAAATTGTGGTTGACCTGATTCTTCAGTGTCAATAACCCATTTCAGTTTTTGTTGATTTGGAGGTGTCAGAGTTAGCTCCGCTTATAACAGCCATCCTACTAAGGAAAGTAAGACTGTCAGCAGCCATCCAAAAAGGGACAGTAAGACTGCCAGAACTATAATCATCTTCTTAAAATAAATAAAGAACAAAAATATTCTTCAATTCTTTCCTTTCTCGTCTCCCTTTTCTCCTACTTTTATTTGTATCCCTCTTTTCTTAAGAAATACATATAAAAGTGCCCCCCATATCTTGTGTCCTGCTGTCACTATAGAGACCCAGGCTCACAATCAGCATTGTATCAAAAACAGATACTCAAACAAATTTATCAAAAATATAGCTGTCAGCCCAATACAAAAAAGTACAATGCTGTATCTTTGTGTATTTTTCATTTTTTTTTTTTTTTTTTGGAAAACAGGCTCAAATGTGGCCAACCAAATCAGTCGTAGTTGTAGTTTTTAGTTTTTAGTTTTTAGTTTTTAGTTATTTTTTCTTGATAAAATCCCAATGTATAGTATCTGATGTGAGATACAATACACCGTATGTATTTTCTTTGAGGGGTCTGAAACAAGATCCAATACTGCAGATACTGTATTGTAAATTGTATAATTATGGCCCCGTTTGGCAGCGTCATAAATTTAGGTGTAATATTGCCTGATTAATTCAATAAAAAATGAACCAATGCAAAATATGTAACAAAATTGTTATTCAGGCAAGTTCAATTATTGGTTTCATCAATGCTGAGAACAAATTTGATATCCTAGGCCATCTTGATCCCCATAACATTGATATTACCCTTTATATGGGTAAAAAGCACAATATTGGTATTATGGTGCTGAAGGTAGCCAATTATCTCAACTTTGTTTATACTAACATTGAAATCAGTAGTTGAACTTTCCCCAGTAAAAATATTATTTCATATTTCTGAGTAGTTCATTTTCTATTGAATTGATGCGGCAATATCCCACTTGAATTTATGATGCTGCCAAACAGGGCCTATATTGTATCTGTTCCAGAATTGGGCTGAGATAACTACATCCACAAGTCTCACAGATTGTGGCCTGTGAGAAACAGGGAGGAAGCAGACAGAAAGAGGTGAACCACATACAGCAAGCCCGTCTGGGTACACACCAAAGGTTGGCCAAATAGCAAAAACAGGCCAAGCACGCAGGGCTGATCTGAAAGCCTGCTTGGCCAATCTTAAAGGGTGTGTGGCACCCTCCCAACCCCCCCGCTTGGCACACCCCAAAGTTGGGGGGGGGGGGGGCTAGCTTGCCCAGCCTCTCCGTCGAACGCACGAAGTGCGGGAGAGGCTTGTGCCAAAAACGAACACGCCCGCGTGTCGCTTTCCAGTTTTGAGAGTGTTTTTTGTGCGAAAAATTCTAATAAATTGCTTTCTTAACTTTAATAGAGGAAAAATCTGGCACAATGTATCCCAGATGCCAAAGTAAATTTTCATCAAGGAATTACCCAGAAACATGTACAACTACATTCTAGGGAAACTTTGTAAAGGTCCAAGAATCCGCTCAAATTTGTGTTTTTTGCTTATGTAATAGCTTCTCAAGGCTCGGAGCTCAACTTTAATTCTGATTTATTTCAATATTTCATATTTTTCAAAAATATCTTACTTGTCAGGTTTTCATACAAAATCTCTAAAAATTGGATGAGGAGAACCGCAACATGGTCAACTTTGACCATGCTGACTCTGCCCTCAAACAACCCCAAAGTACATGCATGGTGGGCAATCCAAAATTCCCTACACCAAAACATTTTTATACCGCCACCGGGGATTTGGGGTTTTTTTCCCAAATTCCCTCTTTGGAGGCCCCCTCCGCGAGTGGCGCCAGCCAGCCCAGGTCCCCAGGCCCGCAGAAGCTTGGGCCTTGGTCCAAGTTAGGGGGGGGGGGGGGTTGGAGCAAAGCCTCGCATGGCCAATATCAAGCAAACGTGCCACCCCCGCCACAACGTCAATGCACCTCAAGGGGTCCATCAACCTTATGATGTTACCCTTAAACCCGCAACAGGGAGGAGCTGGAGCGAGAGAGATTGGCGGATTTATGATGAGCTTGACCAGCAACATCAACAACTGATCCAGTCCGATTGGACTTGTTCATTTTACGGACATCTCCTGCTTGAAGCTTCTCCACAGCATCGTGGATTTGATCAATGGATCCCCAA